AACCCAATAAACTCATCATTGGGAAATCTCAGCATATCAAAAAATCAAAACAACCTTGGTATTCACATTTTGTTAGTGCTCTCTGTCTCTCTGATCTGAGGGCAAATTCATGAGCTCCAAAACCTCCATTTAAGGAGGGGCCAAATACAGTTACATTTCTGCTAGCTACACTACTTGTAGAGTTCCTTGAACTTTATCATGATGCTGTACCAGGTACTTTCTCATTCTGCCCTCTTCATCTTTTCAGCTTCCTGTTGTGTGTTGTCTTCCCGTTAGATTGTTAGCTTCTTAAAGATAAGGACTATTTTTCTTTTTATTTGTATTCCTATCCTGAAAGCTTAGCCCAGTGTCTGGCACATAACAGGTATTTAATAAATGTTTATTGCTTGACTTTGGTATGATGCAGAAAATTCTGAATGGTCCTCCCCTACCTCATGACAGTAGTAGAAGGACAAAGGACTGGTTCAGTTAAAAAAGAGTCAGCTTGTGACTTTTTCTTCTTCCTTCAACATTCCAAGTAGAATCATGTAACTCTGAGATTTCCAGTTAGAAGCTGGAGGCCCTGGTATGAATGTAACTTTTTACATAGCAGCTAGAATAGTGGGACCCCACTGGACAAGCTTGAACCTGGGCCTTTGGTCTTTTTATTAACCATTTTGAGCCTTCTTTTTCTGAGTAGGTAACTGAGCAGCAATCTCCATATGGACAAGTCTAGGCTTGGAGATGACCTCATGGATTTGAGTGGTCTGACAGTCTAGCTGACTGGTGGCAAGGTGAGTTTCTTCATCAGAGATGACTACTAGTAGTAGGATGACTAGGAGTTGTTTGGACAGCCATAAGGCAAAATGTGGGTATGGCCATTCAAGTGGTCCCACAGATTGCTTCATGTTCTAATGAGGCTCAAGTATCAGCCTCCCATGAGATTGTAGGTATAGAGTAAGTTACTGAATACTTTTTAAAGTAGTTTTGCCAATGTGCAGTCTTTAGTGACTTTCAGCATTTTTGTGGGTGTATAGAAAATAAATGCTTATCTCATACCTGATTCATATTATACATTTTGAGAATCTTTTTAATTCTCTGATTTTTGAGGAGATGTAGACTTGAACTAAAACCTAATTTAAATAATTTATCCCAAGGTGCTTGGGTTGGGGTTTAATGAGCTTAAGGGTGTAATGCCAGGCTCCCCTAGGACTGAACCTAGTTGGACTGCATGCCTTTGTCCAGGATTGAGAGTGTCTATTCTGTTGGGTACAGAGATGGGGTATAGTTTCTCAGCTGTTTAGGTCCAGCAGTAGTTGCTTATTGTTATGTCCTATATTCACATATGTGTAAACATGTGTTCTTCTCCCCCCCTTTCCACTCCTTATTGTTCCCCTGCCCCCCAAGAAGGAACTCGAGGGAAAAGATTATCTCACTTTTATAACTACATTCTCACTGGCTGGATTGTTTGGCTTAGATAATTTCTGTAACACTACATCTTTTTTTTGCTTATATTATTTTCCCCACCTGGAATCCTCTCTTCCTTTCTATTCCTCATAGAAGGCCAATCAGTCAAGATCCATTTCAAGCCCCACTTCCTTCAAAATATAACCTGATAGTTCTATGTGTTATGTATACTTCCCCCTTTCTTGACCACTTAGTTGCTTTCGTCATGGATTTTTAGCCTATGATTATCCTGAATTAAGTACTATACTATGTGTATTATTGTGAATTATATATAGTGCTATTTCTCAAATGTTTAAAATCTTATCTCTTCTAAAAGACTGTAAACTCCTCTGGTGGAGGATCTAGGTCACCCACTACTTCTGTAAGCTCTTTCAAACCTAATCTAGTTCTAGGAAGTTCAATAATTATTTATTGAATTGAATGTAATACACTTAATTACCAACTAGAGTTGCAGAGTTTCTTTAAAGTAGTTACTGCTTTTATCATAAAATTATAGATTTAGGGCTACAATGGATTATAGAGGTTATAAGTAGAATGAACACTTTCTGAGGGCAGCAACTTAAAAAAAAAAATCTCCAAGCCTAATATGGTGCCTATATATAGTAGGCACTGAGATATTTAGTTAGTCAACAAGCTGAGTTCAAATCCAGCAACACTTACTAGCTTTGTGACCTTAGGCACAAAGCAAGGCACTTCACAACTGTCTGCCTCAGTTTCAAAACTGTAAAATGGGGATAATAACAGCACTTACCTCACAAAAGTTGTTGTGAGGATCAAATAAATGAGATATTTCCAAAGTGCTTAGCACAGCGCTTGGCACATAGTAGGTGTTTAATAAATGCTTATTTCCTTCCCTTCCAATAAACATTTATTATATGCACTTACTATGTTTCAGGCATTGTGTTGCATGCTGGGGATACAAAGAAAGGCAAAAATTGTATCTGCCCTCAAGGAACTCACATTCTAATGGAGCAGACATGTACAATACCTAGATGCATAAACAATATTACAGAATAGATAGAAGTCAGTCTCAAAGGAGAAAGCACTAGTAGTTGATGGTTTTTTGAAAAGCCTCCCGCAGAGACTGGATTTGAGCTAAGTCTTGAAGGAAGCTAGGGAAATTAACAGGAGGGAGTAAATTTCAGGCATAGAAGTCAAGGAGAGCAAAACAAGAAGACAGGATATGTAATGTTGTGTACAAGAATCGGCAAACAGGCCAATGTGGCCGGATTAAACGGCATGTGGAAGGGAGTAAAGGGTAAGAAGACTAGGAAGGCAGGAGCACATCTTTAAACACCAAACAGAGGACTTTATATTTGATCCTGAAGGTAACAGAAAGTCTCTGGAGTTGAATGAGTGGAGAATGACATAGTCATACCTACACTTAAAAATCAGTTTGGTATTTGAGGATAGATTGGAAGTGGACAAGAGTTACTGCAGATCAATTAGAAGACTAATGCAATAGGCCAGGCTAGAGGTGATGAGGTTGTGAACTAGGATGGTGCCTGTGTGAGTGGAAAAAAGGGGTCATATATGAGAAATATCATTAAGGTAGAAATGATAAACCCTGACAGCAGATTGGATATGTGGGGTGAGTGTGAGTGAGGAGTTAAGGATGACTTCAAGTTTGTGAGCCTGGTTCCCTTGACAATAGTAGAAAGGTTTGAAAGAGGTGAGAGTTTGGAGGGGAAAGATAATGATTTGTTTTGGACTTGAATTTGAGATGTCCAAAAGGCAGTTGGCAATTCAGGAACAGAACTAAGAGGAAAAACTAGGGCTGTATATATAGACCTCAGAATCATTTATATAGAGATGATAATTTAATACATGGAATCTGATGAGATCACCAAGCAACATAATATAGAATACAGAGTGAAGAGAAGATAGCCCAGAACAGTCTAGGAGAATGCTGAAGAGAGGTCATATAGTAGGAGTTGAACCAGGAAAGAGAGAATGTTATAAAAACAAACAAACAAACAAACAAAACTAGAGGAAAGAATACTCAGAAGGTGATCAATAGTGCAGCAGAGATCAAAAATGATGAGGGCTGAGAATTGGCAAGTAAGAGATCATTGGTAATTGGAGAAAGCAGTTTCAGTTGAATGATGAGGTGATGAAGCTAGAAGTTAGATTGCAAAGGGCTTAGAAAGGAGTGAATAAAACTGTTCCAAACCTCTCATTTTACAGATGAGGCAACTGAAGCTCAGAAAGGTAGAGTGATTTCCTCAAGGATGCACAGGTAGGTAATCAATTAGTCACACATTCTGGTGTCTATGTGTCAGCCAATTCATAAAGTTTTTCTTTAATATCTAATTATTATCTCTCTATCTTTCATTTTGCATACTATCTTTCCCTAACTAAACATATTTCTCATATATATGTCCCCTTCTGTTACTTCACACCGTCACCACCCTAGTTCAGATATTGAATGAAACAAAACAATTACAAAAAAAGAGGGCAAAGAAAAAAGGTGAGAAATGGGTGGAAGCCATTATTTCTAGATGTGGAAATTAATATCCCTAGTCATTTTTCCTCCTTTCTCAAATCCTCAACATTAGATAGTAGTAAAGCAGAAACAAAACCCTGAATAGCAGGGGGTGACATGACAAAGCCCTATCTCTGGACCCTGGAGTTGGAAGACTTTGGTTCATATTCCACCTCTGACCCTTTCCATGTGACCTTGGGCAATTATTAAATCAACATGCAAGTATTAAGAACACATTCCATATCTAATACTGTGCCCAAATCAAATAATCTCCCACGGCCTCAATTTCCTCATCTGCAAAATGAGGCGGGGTCGGACCATAAGGTCCCTGAATGTCCCTTCCAGTTCTAGGTCTCGGCTCTCATGACAGGCACAGCAGGAAGCCCTAACGTGGCAACACACTGGGCATGGAAGGGCCGCGTCCAAAACCCGCCTCCAAGGAGGCGGTCACCACGTCTGACAGGTCAAACCAAAGAATGACACATGGCTTAGCCAGGTGGCGTGTCAGTGCCCAGGGACGGGCACGGTGACACTGCAGGAAGACGAGGCCCGTGGCCCTCGGGTGACCCGCGCGCAGTCGGCAGCTCAGCCGGCCTCCGCTCCCGGGAGGGAGGAAGAAGCCGATCCCCCGCCACGTGGGCGCCCGCCCCTCCCCCTCCCGGGCCCGGATTTGGTTTTCAGAGTCCACACCTGCGGCTCCGCTGGTGGGGAGAGGAGGTGGCCGACCCCGGGGGCTGCGTCAGAGGAGCTGGGCGGCTTGGTCCGGGCCATAACCTCACGGGGCTCGCGGCCCCGAGGGAGCCGGTCCCTCTAGGGTCGCTTCGGCCCCGACTTGCTTTGTGTTCCCCTAAGTCCTTCCCACCTTCGGGACTGGGGTCAGGGTCAGGGTCAATCAGAGGAAGCTGGAAGTCCTGTGGCGGAGGGGCACGAGGTGGACTTGGAGTAAGCGCGGAGTAAAGGAAACGGCCGCGGCCCCCTGGCCGCCGCTCAGCCAATCCCCAGGAGGCATCTGTGAACCGCAGCCAATCGGCGCCCGTCTTGTTCCAGGGTGGGTCCCACCCACTTTACACAGTGTCCCTCTCTCCTCCGGTCCAGCGCCTGGTCGGCTCCAGTTGCTGTTTGAGGGTCATCTCAGTTGGCCACTGCCGGAGCCTCCGGACAGGGCACTGGGAACCGGCTCTGCTGGCGTTCCTCGGGTTCTCCTGCTGTTGTCATTGAGGATGAGCGCCAAGTCTACCGAGTGCAGACCCCGTGGAGACCGTCGGCGCTGTTTTATCTAGCGACTGGTGAGGGGCGGCCAGGGGACGGGGAGGCGAGCCCGAGCCCCGGAGGGAGGTGCACCCCGCCCCACCAGGCCGAGCTGTGTGTGTACGAGTGTGTGTGTTATGTGTGTGTGTGTGGGGGGGGGAGTGTTAGGCCCCGCCCGAGGCTGTTTATCTGAGGACCCGGCCAGGGGTGGCTCGGGTTAGGCCCTCTGCAGATGAATGGTCACTTGGGTTACGTGGTGGTGGCACCGCCTCCTCCGTGGATGCTGTGTCCTGAGGCTCTGACCTTTGGCTTGGCCCCCCCCCCAGTCCCTACGCCCTCACTTGTTCTGGGGTTCCTGTATCCCCACAGACCCAGACCGTGGTTGTCATATGATGTGGCTGTACAAACATGGTTATGGTTGGGGCCCTATAATCTAGGGCTCGAATTCTGAAGCTGGAGAATTGAGCTGTAGTTTTTTTGGTTTGTTTTTGTTTTTGAAGTGACCACGCTTGGGAAAACAAATAGAATCTCCTTGTGCTTGAATTTAGCAGATGAAATGCGGAAACGGGAACTTCACACTTATTTTCAAACTAGTCTCCCTTTAAAGTCCCTTGCTACTTTGGCAGCAGGACAACAAATCTTTTTTTCTCTCTTCCCCAGAGCACAGGTTGAGGAGGTATTTAGGTGTCATTTTTTAAATCCACAAATTAATGCTTTTAAAAATATGAGTGGCAGCAAAAAAGGGTGTGCATTTATACCAGACCACAAATTCCAACTATGTTGGACTACTCTCCCGCCATTACTTTATTCATATATTATGTTTCTGCCCTACTGTGGAATAGAGTGCAAATTCAAATACCTCAGTATTTGTCCTTGTTGCTGTTGTTGGTATCGAAGCCCCAAATATTTTACATTTTTATTTTATTTATTCTCACGTTAGTTAAACGTTTTTTTAAAAAATTCTTGTAAACTAAAATCTGCTTTGGGCTTTGCACCACATTCCATAGAAGAGCAGAGAAAATTATCACATTTGTCCAGCAGTTTGGAAGTTGGTTGAAATTACTTATCTTGTGTATATGTCCCTTTTCATTTATTTCATTTGAAATAAACATTTCGAAAAGTGTAAGAAGCTTTTAGGTACAGAACATGTAGAATTAGAAAATAAGCCTGTATTCTGTTTTGAAAATAATTTGAATAAATGTCAAATTTTATTACTCTTTATATGGAAGAATTTAGCTGCCATATCCAATGAAGTTTCCTCTAAAAGTAACTTGGGAAAAATTATCCAAATTAGAGTGTGGGTGTTGTACTGGTATGGCAGTTAGGTGGCGCAGTGGATAGAGCTCCAGGCCAGAGGTCAGGAAGACCTGAGTTTAAATCTGTCCTCAGCCATTAACTCTGTGACCCTGGGCAAGTCACTTAACCTTGTTTACCTCAGTTTCTTCATATGTAAATAAGCTGGAGAAGGAAATGGCAAATCACTCCAGTATCTTTGCCAAGAAAACCCCAAATGAAGTCACAAAGAGTTGAATGTAACCGAACAACAATAACAACATTGTACTGGTTGAGGATTAGAATAAATTTGCTGTCTACAATGCAATGAAACTTTTGATAAAATTGTAAAGAGAGAAAAATCTCAGAGCAACTTTTTTTTAAAAAATGTAATAAAGGGTAAGTTTTGTAACCTTATGTGAATAACAGTTTTAGTGCTATAAAAGGATTGTTTTTATTTCTGGCTAGTTATTTAAGTATTTCATTCATGATGTCATTTCATTTAAAAATCATAGAATGTTAGAACTGAAAGGCTCCTTAGAAATTATCTAAGTTAACTAATTTTATAGATGAGGATCATAGATTTAGAGCTTGAAGGGATCTTAGAGATCATTTATTTAATTAACCCTTCATTTTACAGATGAGGAAATGGAGGCCCTAAGAGGTTAAATGACTTATTTGAGGTCACTGAAGGTAGTTAAGTCACAGAGTGTTGGTCCTCTGATTCTAAATCCAGCACTCTTTCCCTTATACCATATTGCCTCTGGTGCAAACCTACGTAACATTTGGAATATTTTGTAATCATTTGTCATTTATTTAGTACCTGCTGTACATGATATATACTCTTAGGGACTGTTGGGGGAAGAAAACCACATGAAAGTTTCTGATCCTAAGACCCTAGGGAATTTAGGGTCTGGTTGGAGAAAAAAGACAAGCACAGAAACAAATATCACTACAATTGAAGAAATTAAATTGATTCTGTATCATTTTATAATGGATTCCACTCTGTAATTGATACTGTTCTGTATTACTGCCCTATTTTGTATGATTACTCAAGCCACATTTCTGTCCTTGAGTTGAGCTTGAGAATTTAGCTGAATTTAGCTAAATTTAGTTTGATAGAAAAGTTGTTATCTCTTATGGTTGATTTCCCTGGGATACTTCATGGATATCTATCTAACCCCACAAAATTACCATCCTCAAAAGATTTGTCATAAGTCCTTTCGTGTGTGTGTAGTTAAGGAAGTTTTTTGTCTATGTCTTTTTATCTCTTGCTAGGAGACACCAAGTCTGCTAGTTGTGAGTCTCCAGAAAAGACTACAAGATACAGATGGGTTCCATAAAACAATTAACATTCCTTAATTGTTAGTTCAGAAATTACCCTTACCTGAATGCCAGCCCGTCTTTCTCAGTATAGCTAATTGTAAGGTTCTTGCCCCAACAGGGTCCCATCCTTAAGGAGGAGCTGGCTTTGCTGAGGTTGCCACTGTGGCTGACTTTGTAAATAGTTAAACACATCACTGTTAATAAAATCTTGCTCTGAGTCTGTACCTCAGTCTACTTTGGTGAAATGTACTTGACACAAGTTTATAAGTATATAAGTATTATGTTTATAATATATACATATGTATGTATGTATACTACTGAGATGATAATTTGGAAGAGGGGGAAATTACTACTAGTGATCAGGGAAGGATTCATAAAGGAGGGTAGTACTTGAGTTGGGCTTTGAAATATGGATGCAAATTAACTAGGTGGAGACGAGTGAGAAAAATATTACAGGCAAGTAACCATGGAATAAATAAAGGCTTGGAAGTAAGACTATGGAAGGCATGTTCTGGATCCTGGCAGTAAATTGGCATGGCCAGAATGAAAGGTTCTTCTATGTATGTATTAAGATATTGGGTTGGAAAAGATACTGGGTTGAGAACACATTGTGTAGTGCTTTGAGTATTATGCTAAGGATTTTGGACTATCATTTTAGGTTTTAGAGGAGAGAAGTGATAGGATCAAGTAGTGTTTTAAGGAAATCAGGTAGTTTAATTTGGCCTTGATATGCTTAATGAATTGCAGTGGGAAGACATTGGAGACGTGGAGACAAGAGACTCTTGAAATTGTATAGATTTAGGCAATGAAGAGTGATTTCTTTGGGAATAGAAAGGTAGGAACAGACACAATTTGAAAAACATTGGGAAGGAATAATTAATTGAATTTGCTACCTGATATAAAAAAAAAGACTCTAAAGTATTGACTGACTAATGGGGGAGTCAAATAGATGTAAGTCTATAGACATGAAATATAAAGAGAATAAATACAAAGCAAATTAGTTAAATAAAAGGTGGTTCAGAAGGGAGGGTGCTGGCTCTTGAAGGAAAGGCTTCATGTAGATGGTGATTTTAGACCTGTGTCTTAAAGTTAGAGGTATTTGATGAGTCAGGTTTGCAGAGATAGCTAGTAAAAAGACATGGAGTTGGGGGATGGTGTATATAAGGAATAGCAAGTAGACCAGTATTGCTACATCAGAGAGTGTATAAAAAGATCAGAAAGGTAGAAGGGACCACTTTGTGAAGAGGTCAAAAGATAAAATAGAAATTTATATTTTATCCGAAAGTCAATAGGGAGCCACTAGAGTTTGAGTAAGGGGAGTCAGATCTGTGATTTTTGGAAGCTATGTGGAGGATGGATTGCAGTGGGCTGACCTGAAATAAAGAAGACCAATTGGGAGGCAGTTGCAGTATTTCAGGCCAGAAGTGATAAAAGCTTTAAGTAATGTGGTAGCTGTCTGAAAAGATGTGTGTGAGAAATGTTGTGAAGATAGAAATGTCAAGATTTGGCAGCTGATTGGGCATGTGGGGTGAAGGAGAGGGAAGAGAGAAGGAGAGTAAATATCAAAGTTACCAGCCTTGAGATACCAAAAGAATGGTGACAGTCAATTCATGGTGTCCAAAAAGCTGTTTGTGATGTGGGACTGAAGTTTAGGGATTAGGGCTATATCTATAGATCTTTGAGTCACCTTCATACAGGTGATAATTAAACCTATGGGAACTGAACAGGCATTGAGATACAGTATAGAATAAGGGTTCTTAATCTAGAATTTGTGAATTGTTTTAAAAATATTTTCATAACTATATTTGAGCATAATTGATTTTGTAATCTGATACAGCTTATTTTACACATTTCATTACATGACAAGAAGGTTAAGAACCACTCATGTAGGGAGAGAAAAAAAGAGGGCCCAGGACAGAGCCTTGGAAGAATATCCACAGTTGGAAGTTATTATGTAGATGATGAGCCAGTAAAGGAGACCGAAAAGGAGAAATCAGGTAGGAGGAGATCCGACAGAGGATAATGTCATGAAAAGCCAGGAAGATAAGTATCCAGGAGGTAGGGATAGTCAGCAATATTAAAAATAGAAGAAAAATCAAGATGGATGAGGAATGAGAAAAAACAATCAGGTTTGGAAATTAGAAGAGTATGGTCATTTAGAGGCGTCCTATTTCAGACCTCCATCACCTTTGCCTAGACTATTTCAATAGCTTCCTAGTTGGTCTCCCTGTCTCAAGTCTCAGACTCCCTCCACTTTATCTTCCATGTAACTTCCAAGTTGATATTCCTACAGTACAGGTCTATGCGTAACACTCCTCTGCTTCAGAACTTCAGCAATTTCCAGTTCTAGGATAAAATATAAAATCGTCTGGCATTTAAAGTTCTTCAGAATGTGGTTTTATCTATCCTTCTGGATCAGCAGTTCTTTACCTGTGGTCTGTGGATCCCTAAAGGTTCCATAGATAGATTTCAGAGTCTCTGTGAACTTGGATGGAAAAAAAAAATTATATCTTTATTTTCACTATGTTTTTTCATTGGTTTCCATTCTGATTTAAAGTATTTTATGCATTAAAAAGATCATTTTGAGAAATGGTCCATAGGCTTTACCAGAGTGCCAAAGGGGTCCATGACACAAAAAATGGGAAGCACACCTGGCCCAGACAGATTTCACATCACTCCCTTTCATGCATCCTATGTTTCTGCCAAACAGACCTATTTACTATTCTCTATCGCTTTGTATAAGCTCCTCCAGGTTTTCTCATTTCTGCCTCTTAGAAGCCTAGTATCCTTCTTTAAGTTGCAGCTCAAGTGCTACCTCCTTTATAAGGCTCTTCCTGATTTCCTGAAACTCCCTCTTACCTGCCTTCCCTCCTCTTAGTGTTTTCCTCCCTCTGAAATTACTTTATATTTGCTTTGTATGTAATTTGTATTTCTTATGTTTACATTTTGTTTCACCTTGTAGAATGAATCTCTGCTGGCAAGCAGAGGGAGACATAAACTTATAAAATATGCATATTTTATATAAAAGTACATATAAAAATATGAAATGATTACAAAATGCAGTATATACAAAGGAGTTAAATACAAGGTAATTTGGGAGTGAAAGCACTAGTGGTTGGAAAACTCAGGAAAGATTTCATACTAAAAATATGGTAATTGAGTTGCATCTTTAAGAAAATAAAGGGACATTAAAGAGAAGGTAAGGAGGAAATGAATTCCAAGCATGTGGGACAGTCAGTGCAAAAACAAGGAGATGAGAGATAGAGTGTCATGTGTGAGGAACAGAGAGGAGAGAGGGGAAGGAATAACTATTTATTAAACGCTGTGTTATCTCTCTTGATCCTCACAACAATCCCGAGAGATAGGTGCTGTTATCCCCATTTTAAAGTTGAAGCTGAGACAGACAGAAATTAAGTGACTTGCGCAGGGTCATACGGTTAGTAAGTGTATGAAGCTGTATTTGAACTTAGCTTGTTTGCTGAGTTGTGGAGCAGAAGAAATGTCCAGTGAGGCTGGAAAGATAAGTCGGAGCTAAGTTGTGTAAGGCTTTAAAAACTAAACAGAAGAGTTTATATTTGATCCCAGAGACGATAGGATGTCACTAGAATTGATCTGAGTAGGGGAGTCACATGGGTAAATCAGTTTTTTAGGAAAAATACTTTGGCAGCAGTGTATAGGATGGCCTAGAATAGAGAGGGAGACCAAATAGGATTCCATTGCAGTAATCTAGACTAGAGATGATGAGGGCCTGAAGTAAGGTGGTAGTTAGGTAAGTAGAAGTGATGTTGTGAAGAAGTTGGCAGCTGATTGCATATGCTTAGCACAGTATCTGGCATAAAGTAGATGTTTAGTAAATGTTTATTGATTGATATATGTAGGAGGGGAGAGTGAGGAGTCCAGCATAATGCTAAGTAGATGAATCTGAGATACTGGAAGGATGGTGGTGGTGTCTGACAGAAAATATGAAAGTTTAGAAGAAAGGAGGGTTTAGGGGAAAAGATTATGAGATCAATGTTGGAAACGTTGAAATTAATATGACTCTGGGACATGGTTTAAAATGTATAATATATAATAAGAAGTTGGTGATGTGGGACTGAAGCTCAGGAGAAATACCAGAACTGGATATATTGATCTGGGTTATGATAATTAAATCCATAGGAGCTAAGGAATGATATTACCAAGAGAAAGTGTGTGGAGGAAGGAGAGCAGAGAGCCTAAGAAAGGGAAGCTTCTTAGCTTAGGAGAACACCCTCTGTTTTAAGGGTATGATATGGATGATGAGCCAGCAGAGTGGTCAGGAAAATCGGAGGAGAATGTCTCTCCAGGAGATTGTGGTCAATGGCATCAATTGTCAAAGACAGGTCAGAAGGATTTTAGGATTGAGAAAATCAATATATTAAAATATTGACATGGAGACATCAATTCTAAACTTTAGTTCAGAACTAATATAGGTCACATTAAAGTATTAATGCCTCTCTGATCCTGTTATATGGTATTTCAACTTAATGTTTCATTATCTTTTGAATGTTTATGTTGAGATGTATTAATACAGGAGGAAAATATGCCCTGTTGCTTTTTAATACAATAATATAACAATGAAGTGATTTATTAGTAAATATTTTTGCTTGGAGGTTCTTTACACATTGAAGCTACAAAAATGACTTTTGGAGCATTTTATAAGGTAGCCAAAATGAAATAAACCTTGTACATTTTCTAGCTATTTACTTAAAAAAAAATGAAATGCTAGTGTTAAAAATGTAAGAGCTTGCAGCTTTTTTTTTTTTAAAACTCGGTATTGTCTGGATGCTGACATACTTTTCCCATTTGAAATCTAAATTTTAAAGTTGAGCTGAACCTTACAAATGTTATTAGAAATATTAATTTCGGGAATTGTACAGTTATGGAGCCAGAGAGTTTTTTTTAACTTATATCACTCAGTCATCCAGTAATTATTAAGTATCTGCTATGGGCCAAGTACAAAGAATGAAGTGATCTCTACTTAAAATGAGTTTATGTATTCTAATGGGGGAAATAGCAAGTGTGTATGTGTGTGTGTATGTATATAAAGATACAGCAGACATTCATATACATATAAAGTTAATAAATGCATATACACAGATACAAAGGGTTAAATAAAAGATACTGTGGGAGGGAGGACATTAATAGCTGGGGGAAATCAACAAAGGCTTCATACAGAAGATTGTGTCTGAGCTGCATCTTAAAGGAAGAGAGGAGCCCTAATGAATCTTATGAATCATCATCCAACCCTCTTATTTGAAGATTAGGAAACTGAAACTCCCAAGAGGACAAATGACTTGCCTAAGGTCATAAAACTATTGAGTGGTAGAAATGAGAGCCAAGTCTTGTGATCCCCAGTGTACTGCCCTTGTCAACTCTACCATATGTATATTTTAGTGTTTGAAATGGAGAGATTCTTAAGGGGTTTTCTCATTTTTAACTCCTGGGGGGGGGCAATGAAAATGCAGATCTAAAATATTTTAGTTCTTTTTCTAATGGGTATAGGAAATGATTTCACACGTATTGTGGTTATGTGTGTTTGGTCTCTTTCTTGGAAATACACTTTTAATGCTAGAGCTGCTTTTCAAAGTGAGGCAAAATGAATGAGTGTTTTGGGTATGAAACATAACTGACTTAATGTAGGTATTCAGATACTTGGAATTTCTTTGAGGTAGTAATTTGTAATTAAATTATTGATAAACCTTTAAAAAACTGTTAGTGGGCATTTGAAGTGGTCTAGTCTTTAGTGTATAATCTGAATTTCATGTGTAAGGCAAAAACATTGAGAAAAGGGTAGAGTTTACTGAAGGAAAGGTAAATAATACTGTGCTGAGTATAATAGTGATTAAGCTGCCTGTTTTTGATTCTTTAGGCTTTATAGTATGTTAGGTGTTAGAATTTCTACATCGAGTGAGGGATTTGAAGAATGGTATCTTGTGACATCATAGCATTTCAGATGGGTAGTAGTATTTCCCATGTTTTAAAATTATATAGTTGAGATTCTGTGACATGGAAATAGCTTTGTTTAGTAGAATTTGACTTTGTAACAATTCAGTTAATGAGAGTTTGCTTGCTAGAAGCAGTAACACAAAAGTTCAAATTAGCAAAAAGAAGGATCCATCTCTGTGTGTACCCTGACTATTCACTTTATGCTTTGGATGACAGCTTCCTTTATAGTGGCTGCAGAGGTTGTTGGAGTGATCCCTAGCATGGCTATTGAATAAGAGCATCTTAACTTGTCTACCTACCTTTGTCTCTTTAGTGTCAAAACTATGTAAGACAAATCAACCATTAGAGAAAATAATACTATAACTTTCCTTGAAACTGTTAACTTAAGGCTGATATTTTACAATTTTTAACAATACTTCTTTTATTGACAATTTAATAAATTTAATATTTTTAAAAATTTATATTTCATTTCCCTGTTCTTCTCTTACAGGTCTCCTTTGCAATTATGGATATTTGAAAGGATTTTAGACAGTGTGGAGGGGGATTTCCCCTCCCCACTCCCTCTTGGTGCTTGACTCCTGGAATAATTTATGAACAGTGGAGAATTTTTTATTTTAATAATAACATTTGATATAAACTTTATAGATATTTATACTTAAATTTTTTTAAGTGCCAAAATAAATTGCACAAAGATTCATAGTTTTGTATTACTGTCTTGGGGAAATGAATTTGAATTCTGGGAATACCATCTATCCCCAGCATTGTTCAACCTAAAAAGCATATTAATACTTTGGCTGTCTTTCTTTTTAACTTCAATAAAAATAAATAAGACTAGTTTTAATGAATTGATCTTCTGAAGAAAGAATAAACAGTGTGAAAAAGAGTAGGATGAATTCTTCTATGCCAGACTGTACTTTAAAGTGTCGATCCCTGAAGCATGCTTTGGATATCCTTTCTGTAGTAACAAGGGGGAATGAAGGCCAGATTAAGGCCTTTCTTTCTACTTACTGTTACAATGCTGCAACTATCAAGGATGCCTTTGGAAGGAATGTTCTTCACCTCGTTTCATCATGTGGAAAGAAAGGAGTGTTGGATTGGCTTGCAGAGACAAAAGGAGTGGATCTGTTGGTGAGAGACAAGGAGTCAGGATGGACAGCTTTGCATAGAAGCATTTTTTATGGACATATTGATTGTGTTTGGTCGCTCTTGAAGGTTAGTGCCCTACTTTGTATTAGAATTATTTTTAAAAATGCTTATTGTTATATATCTTGATTAAATTTTTATTATAGTACTGATATTTTAAGTAACTTTTTATTTATAGGTCATTGGTTATATAAAAAGAATAATTGTAAAATGTACATATTTTTATAATATCAAAATAAATTATTGATAAATACTAAAAGATATCTTAAAACAGAATAGCTCTTAAGTTTTAAAACCACTGTTATTTCCATCATATTTGACAGTAAGGCAGTAAAAAGAAAAGTTTAGAAATAAAACTATGCATTTAAGAAGGAACACAATTAAAATTGGTAGTCACAATTTATAGGTCTGGAATAACACATTTTTATAGCGCTCAAAAGCTTAAAAATAACCTTATGAGATAAGTAGTAGTATTCTTATTTTACAGATCATCAAATTGTATGATTTGGGTTCCCCAGGCAATGAAAAGGAAAATTCTCTTTGGAGAAGGGGAGAGGCCAAGGCTAATTGCTTTGCTTACACATTGAGGATGTCTAGGTATATGCCTGCTGTTGGATTATTTCCTACTTGGAGAGTTTTCTGTGGTGAATACATGAACTCGCTTGTATGAGTTGGTAGGTAGGTAGTATTAGGCAGGAGTTGGGAGTAACTGAGATATTTCAGGGTGAATTTTCCATATAAAAATTGTTAGATGATTAGAGATTGTAGTACAGCTAATATAGTATTTTATACTTGGAGAACCTAACTGATATCAGTAAAAGTTGCCTCTCAATTGTTTAAAAAAAAAAAGTATTTGTAGTTTGTATAAGGAATAGCAGAATGGGCTTGAATTTAGGCTTGATCTATTTTAAAATAAGAAATATATAACCATATGGTTATATATTAGATATTGGGAAATTATAATTAGAATATATATTATATTCTAATAATATATATAATTAGATAAAATAATATATAATTAGATATTGGGAAATTCTTACACTATCAGTTTCAGAGTTTGTTTTCAGTGGATGCTATTTTGTACAAAGAGACATAAATACATATTAATTTCTTACTTGGGTTTTAGCAAATCTCTCTCCAGGTGAGAGTTTTAGCCAAGGGTTGGTCCTTGTAGAATATGAATTCTCATCACAATTCTATGTCAAGATAATAACATTTTTGCATTCTTCCTCTTAAAACAAAAATTTCTGGACAATGATGCTAATAATGCCATTATAAGTCAGGTTAAAAAAGCAAAAATAGAAAATGTTCCTTATTGGAAAATTGTAATCATTTTCCTGTACAAACTAATTTTTACAAACCAGCTTTCAGAACAAAGGGTGTTAAATGAGAGACTTTCCCATATATTGTGTGTATGTGTGTGTGTGTATGTATATACACACATATACATATATGTATACATACACTAATAGCCTAAAATCCTTTTTAACTTTGAAATAACTTTATTTACAACTTAAGAGAATTTTGTATGTTTATTTGAGGAAGTGTTACAGAAAAGGATGCCTCTGAACTCTAGACAGGCTGCAGGATATTTCCACTTGGCTGTCTCATCGTCACTTAACATATCAAAAAGATAACTCATCTTTACCCCTACGTTCCCCATAGCCACTTAAAATTGCCCCTCTTCCCAGCTTTCCTAATTCTATTTGTGTCAACACTACATTCATTGCTCATGCTTAAAAATTTGAGTCATCTTTGACTTTTCCTTGAACCTACTGTCCTCTATCATATCCTGTTGCCAAAATTATTATTTTTTTTTTGAAGAAACTCAGCTTAGATCTAAACATCATATTTGACTCTTTCCACCCTCCTTCCAATCCTGAATGTTTCAATCCTTTTCCTTCAAGGCCTCAATTCTTCCAAAGAAATTGTTCTCTTACTTTTCAAGTTTCTTGTGTTGCCAGGCCGGTCAAGTTTGCCTCCACAGTATCTTTCCAGATCATCCTCTTCTCTCTACTTAAACTGCTACCACTCTGGTTTAGGCCTTTATCACTTCTCATCTGGTCTACTGTAGTCTTGTACCTGGCTTTCCTGTGCCCATTGTTTTCCCAGATCCATGTCAAAAACCTTCAGTGGTTCCCTTGTTGTCAGGAGTACAAACTCCCTGTTGTATTGCCCATATTGTAAGGAGTACAAACTCCTTAGTGGGGCATTTGAGATTCTCGTTTTTAGCTTTATTTATTTATTTATTTTAATCACTTCCCTTACGAAGTCTTTTGTTCCGGCCAAAATGGACTATTAGGTGTTCCCCAGTTATTTTGCTAACTTTGCTGTTAACATGTATTGAAGGGGCTTCTAGGTGGCACAGTAGATAGAGCACTGGCCCTGAAGTCAGGAAGACCTGAGTTCAAATCCAGCCTCAGACCAAACACTTGACACTTACTGGCTGTGTGACCCCGGGCAAGTCATTTAACCCCAATTGCCTTAAGAAAAAACAAACCAAAACCAAAAAAACATTAATTGACTACCACCCATGCCTGGAATGCACATACCCCTTATCTTTGCTCTTGTAGAAATTCTTTTCTTTCTTAAAGGAAGTAATATGACCATATCCATGAAGCCCTCTCTGAAAGCCTTCCCCAATCTTATTCCCATGGCTGAAATTGTTGTTTTAGGTTTTCTTAGATTATTGGTGTCAGACTCAAAACTAGGGCTCACAGAGCTGTGGGCATTTTCCAGATTAAAATGTAATTGGGAAATGAATAATAACCAAATAAATAAAAATGTAACATGGATAATGTTAATTTGTGGTTTTCTAGGTCATTATGTGGGCCTCAGGGATTCATTTATATTTGGGTTTGACAACACTGCCTTACTTCATCTGGATTTTTTCCTTTATCTTATCATAATTTATTTTCTACTTATTTTTTGTTCCTCTTGTGCCCGCTTTCCTTCTACTCTGATTCAACTCAAGTTTCTTCAAGGAAGGGACTCTTTCGTTTTTGGGGTTTGTGTACCCATTGCCTTTTTCATCTATCTATCTATCTATCTATCTATCTATCTATCTATCTATCTATCTA